TGGCGCTGGCCTTGCTGCTGCGGCCCGGCGCCGACTCCGTCGATGCCTCGGTTGGGGCCGCCGGCGATGTCCCACAGGCCAGCAAGGAGGTGCTCGATTCCTTCCTGGATCTTGTGAGGTCAGACACCCCACCCCTCAATCCCACCCCATCAACCCCAAACCCCATCCCACCCCATCACTCCAGATCCCCACCTCATCACACACATCCCCACCCCACAACCCCCGAGTCCCAGGGGGTACCCTGCGCTGGGCAGAGCCAGAGCACCATGTGGACTGGAGGAGACTTAGAGACACGGAAGTGGATGGGGCCAGTGTTGGGGGGGGGGGCAGACCTTGCCCTTTCGGGGGTGTTGAGGACAGGATCAGCGGCAACAGGGTTTAGCAGGAGCTCCCCCACCCATGGGAGGGGGGGGTCTTTGTGAGTCAGGAGAGCCAGTGAAGAGGACCCCAGGGACATCCCCAGCTCTGGCTGTGGGACAGGAGAAGCTGTATGGGGACCCCAAAAACAGTTATCCATGCCCATTGGGACTTCCTGACCAGCCAAGGACTCTCATGAGACCAGGTGAGAGCTCCCCCCCCCTCCCCACTTCTCAGGGCTGCTCAGACCACTTATCTCCAGATCCAGTCAGCTATATTTTATTTTGCTCAGCCTCTTCCTCTCCCGATTCATCTGGGGGCCAGAGCACCCTATGAGATCAGCCCGGTATCCCCTTTCCCACTTCCCTTCCTCCTCTGCTTTTCCCATGGAGCCCCCAGAGCTGGTAGCTTAGAGCTTTGGTGAGGAAATCTGTTGGGTTTTTTTGTTTTTTTAGTCCGGTCCTGGGGCCTGAACTCTGGGCCTGGGCGCTGTCCCTCAGCTCTTCAGCTCAAGGCAAGCGCTCTACCACTTGAACCACAGCGCCACTTCCGGCTTTTTCTTTTTGCTTATGTGGTGCTGAGGAATCGAACCCAGGGCCTCAGGCATGCAAGGCTAGCGCTCTACCACTAAGCCACTTCCCAGCCCTGGTGAGGAAATCTGATGTGTTGTTTTGACTTTTGCTTTTTTCCACCATGCTCGTGTGTGTGTGTGTGTGTGTGTGTGTGTGTGTGTGTGTGTGTGTGTGTGTGTGTGTGTGTGTGTGTGTGTGTGTGTGTGTGTGTGTGTGTGTGTGTGTCTGCCTGCACCTGTACCCGGGCTTAAACTCAGGGCTCAAGGCCAGGACTCTACCACTTGAGCCACAGCTCCACCTCTGCCTTTTGCTAGTTCATTGGAGAGAAGAGTCTCACCAACTTTCCTACCCCAGCTGGCTTTCAACTATGATCCTTAGATCTCAGCCTCTCAGGTGGCTGGGATCTCCCGGCTGCATAGCCACATATAGGAGTCTGATGCAATGTCTGCAGGTTGGGGACTTCCTGGAAGTGGGGACAGGAAGTGGTGAGGCACATAACTGAGTATTCTTGCCTCTAGGGGCCTGCTGACGCATTGGAGTCTGGGTTTGCATGGTCACAGCTGGGAACCTAGAGCTTCTGGAGGAGAGAGATTAGCTGGGTTCAGGAGGTGGGCACACCCACCTGAGGCTGTTTGTGAGGACAGGCCTCACCCAGGGCCTAAACTGTGGGGCACCTCCAAACTTAGCTGGAACATCTCACCAACTGACACACCCCCTGGTGGCCGGAGGTGCCCTCCGAGAGACACGTGGCCTTCCACCAGCTGTTACACACCCATCAACCACCATCACCTACCAGGCCTCAGAACACTGCAGCCGGGAATGATGGCACATGTCTGTAATCCCAGCTGCTGGGGAGGTAGAGGCAGGAGGATCATGAGATTGAGGCCAGCCTAGGTAGGTAGCTACGGAGACTTGTCTTCAAACAAAAACAAAGGGGCTGAGGGCCTGGCTCAAGTGTGTAGAGCCTTTGGGGCCCTAGATCAGTCCCCAGTACTTGGGCAGAACAAAGCTAAGTAGGAAAAGTAGGAAGATCACAAGTTCAAGGCCAGCCATATACACACACATACACACACACACACACACACACATACACACACACATAAAGATTCTGGGAGTAGGGCTGGGAAGGTGGCTCAGTGGTAGAGCGCTTGCCTTGCATGCATGAGGCCCTGGGTTCGATTCCTCAGCACCACATAAGCAAAAAGAAAAAAGCTGGAAGTGGCACTGTGGCTCAAGTGGTAGAGCGCTAGCCTTGAGCTGAAGAGCTGAGGGACAGCGCTTAGGCCCCACGACCGCACCCCAAAAAAAAAAAGATTCTGGGAGTAAGGGCTCCAGAGGCAGCTTCTGGTTCAAATCCCACCTCTGTCACATTCCACCTGGGCAAGGCTTTGTTTGTGCCAGCCCTGGAACTTGAACTCAAGCCTGGGCTGCTGTCCTTGAGCTTTTTCACTGTACCACTTGAGCTACAGCTTTGCTTCCATCTTTTTGCTGGTTAGTTGAAGACTAGAGTCTCATGGACTTTTCCTGCTCCCAGGCTGGCTTTGACATGTGATCCTCAGATCTCAGTCTCTTGAGTAAACTAGGATGGCAGGCGTTGAGCAAGTTTCTTGCTTTTGGCTACCTCAATTTCCAATCCCCGGACTGGGGCCAAGATGGTGTGAGTTGGTTTATGTACAGCATTAGACGCCTTCCCGCAGAACAGCCTCACAGCAACCCCCTGTCACTCAGCGTGACCTGATCTTTGCTGCATTCCATCACCCAGAGCCAGCCCCTGGGGGACCAGGCCTCCAGGAAGCGGCTGATGCAAGCCTGGCCAGAGTGACTTATTCCAGGCAGTGGGTGGGGCTGAGGCCAGGGTGACGCCGCCCCTCAAGTTCAAGACCACGCCCTGTCACCCAGACACACCCCATCCACCCCAGGTCCTTCCCGCCCTGGCTCCGCCCTCCATGCCCCGCCCCCACCCCTACTGCCTCTGAGCCTAACATTCTTTACCTCCAACCCACAATCCTGCCAACCTTCTCGGGCCAGCTCAGGGTAAAGGGGCGCAAGCAGGCTCCATTGCCTGGGCATGGGTAGGTCTTGTACGGGTAAAGATGGGGACTTGTTGTTCCCATCCAGCCCTCTCCCGGCAAAACACACCCCTGTTTCCCCTCAATCCCCCCACACCGCCTTATGGTATTCTAATAGCCCCTGTGTGTCTTATCTCTGCAGGAATATCTTCCCTTCCAACCTGGTCACTGCAGCCTTCAGATCTGTGAGTCTCCAGGGAGGGGAAGTTGTCCCCTGGCTGGGGCGGAAGTAAAAACAATCTTTGTGGCCCTGTCCACCTGAGAGTATGCAGCCCTGAGATCCATCTGGGCTTTTCCCTATGAGGAAATGAGAATAAGGGGGTGAAGTTTCGGGGAGTAGCAAGAAGCTACTGAGTCCTGAGGCCCTAGGTTTGGACCTGGGCTCCATTACCTCCTTTGGTTTTTCTACCTGGTGACAACAGCTTTACCTCTGAGTCTCAGATTCTACTTCTAAAAAGTGGGGTATGATAAAAGCTGATGGTTGAAGCCGGGCGCCGGTGGCTCACACCTGTCATCCTAGCTACTCAGGAGGCTGAGATGTGAGGATCATGGTTCAAAGCCAGCCCAGGCAGGAGAGTCCGTGAGACTCTTATCTCCAATAAACCACTAGAAAACCAGAAGTGGTGCTGTGACTCAAGTGATAGAGCTGAAGAGCACAGGGACAGTGCCTAGGCCCAGAGTTCAAGCCCCATGACTGACCAAAAAAAAAAAAAGATGGTTGAGTTTAAAGGAGGCTCAAGGTGGCTGGGTATGGTAGTATACACGTTTAATTTCAGCTCCTGGAATTAAAAGACCAGGTTGGGTAAAGTTCCCCAGACCTTGCCTCATAAAACACCGGTCCCCCAGAGCAGGAACATCTGTGAGACTCTTCTCTCCAATGAACCACCAGAAAACCAGAAGTGGTGCTGTGGCTCAAGGGGTAGAGCACTTACCTTGAGCTGAAGAGCTGAGGGGCAGCGCCCAGGCCCAGAGTTCAAGCCCCAGGACTGACAGGGGCGGGGGGGGGGGGGAGGGGAGCCCTTTTGATTACATATTTTGTTTGGTTTGGTTTTTGGAGCACTTACATAGCAGGTGCCAGTGCCTGGGTTTGGCCCCCAGTACTGAATAAGAATCAAAATATGTAGGTGGACGTGGAGCACAGTTGGCTCCTGGGTGGGATGGGGGCTCCTCCATGTCAGTTCTTACAGGATCTTCCTGGCCCTCTCTCCCACAGTACTCCACTGTCAGTGATCGGAGCAACCAGACCCAAATGAACGGGACGCAGGTGCAGGTGAGTGCTGGCTCTTCTCCCTCTCAAAGCTGTGTTCCACCTCAGCCTCCCTCTTCTCTCACTCTGTCCCCCCCCCCCCCCTGGCCGCCTCCACTGCCCTATCCCTGCCCCTCTGCCTATTCTCTGTCTTCCTCCGTGGGTCAGGCTTGTTCCTAAGTGCCAGTCTGGGGATGCACCATTTTAGGCCATTGCCCGTTTTGTTTCCTCTTGGTAGAACTGTCTTCCCACCCTCATGCCCTGGTTCATTCCTCCTGTCCTTCAGGCTCAACAGATGTCTCTTCCTCCAGGAAGCCCTCTGTGATACCTCCTCACACTGGCACCCCTTCCCTTCTGAGTCCTACCCTTCCCTGGGGACCCCCCCCATTCCAGTCCCTCTCACTTTGGGTGACCTGTGGTGACAGGTCTCTTGCCCCTGGTCGCCTGGATCTTGAGCCGGAAGGCCAAGGAGCCTTGAGGAGCTGCCTTGTCCACTAAGCAGGTGGACACGCCTATGTGTTTCTTACCAGAAGTTGCCCCAGGGTAAAGAAGTGGAGGGCATGAATATCCTGGGCCTGGTGGTCTTCGCCATCGTCTTTGGCGTGGCCCTGCGGAGGCTGGGGCCTGAGGGCGAGCTGCTCATCCGCTTCTTCAACACCTTCAACGACGCCACCATGGTGCTGGTGTCCTGGATTATGTGGTGGGTGCTGAGGCTGTGTGACTTTAAGCAAGTGCATTGCTATCTCTGTGCCTCAATAGCCACTTCTAGGGCCTGGTCTTTTCCTTGTGGTGCTGACCTGCCCCCTCCATTAGCAAGAGTATCAAGACTGGTTTGGGGGTGCCCTGCTTGAGTGGATGTGGTGACACCCCATGGTTTTCAGAACAAACACTACAGTCATCCCAGGGAAGAGCTCCATAAAGGATAAGGTGAAGGAAGACATGTCCATGCCCAGAGCTGAGCAGTGACACTCAACTTGACTTCAAAAATGAGTTAAAGCTGACATCAATGGCTCATGGCTGTAATCCTAGGTACTCGGGACACTGAGACCTGAGGACTCTGGTTTGAAGCCAGCCTGGGCAGGAAAGTCCATAAGACTCTTACCTCCAGTTCACCAGCAAAAAGCCAGAAGTGGAGCTGTTGTGGCACAAGGCCCCAAAATTCAAGCCCTAGTTCTGGGACACACACACACACACACACACACACACACACACACACACACACACACACACACACACACCCCTTTAGCCATGTCCTGACACACACACACACACACACACACACACACACACACACACACACACACACACACACACACACACACACACACACACACACACCCCTTTAGCCATGTCCTGATCATGTATTGGATCTGGTCACATCATCTGCTATAACAAACCAGAAAACAAATGGCTTACAGGATAGCAGCTGGATTTGGGGGTCAAGTTCAAATCTGAGCACATGGGCTTTTATCTCTTGGCTGCACCACCTTCAAAGAAAAGGGCCTGGCCTGGAAGAAGTAACGGAGGATCACCCAGGCCTGGGAGGCTTGGGTACGGTGCTCAGGTTTCTGCCTGCTATGTGGGGGTGAGCAGGCTGGGAAGGGCCCACGGGTGCACAATGCCCTGCCATTGTAAGCAGCTGTGGTCCTCTCTCCTGGGGGACCAGGTATGCTCCTGTGGGCATCTTGTTCCTGGTGGCGGGCAAGATTGTGGAGATGGAGAATGTGGGGAAGCTCTTCACTAGTCTTGGAAAATACATCCTGTGCTGTCTGCTGGGCCACGCCATCCATGGTCTCCTGGTCCTGCCTCTCATCTACTTCGTCTTCACCCGCAAAAACCCCTACCGTTTCCTCTGGGGCATCCTGGCGCCGCTGGCCACTGCCTTTGGCACCTCTTCCAGGTGAGCCTCACCCCCTGGGCAGGATCCTCATACAGAAATGGGAATGGAAGCCAGGCACTGGTAGCTTATGCCTATAATCCTAGCTACTCAGGAGGCTGAGATCTGAGGATCATGATTCAAAGTCAGCCTCAGCAGGAAAGTCTGTGAGACTCTTATCTTCAATAAACCACTAGAAAACTGGAAGTGGTGCTGTGGCTTAAGCAGTAGAGTGCTCACCTTAGCTGAAGACGCAAAGACAGCGCCCAACACCAACAAAAAAAAAAAAAAAAAAAAGAGGAGAGCTGGGAATGTGACTCAGTGGTAGAGTGCTTGCCTCGTAGCATGCATGAAGCCCTGGGTTCGATTCCTCAGTACCACATACACAGAAAAAGCTTAAAGTGGTGCCATGACCCAGGTGGTAGAGTGCTAGCCTTGAGCAAAAGAAGCTCAGGGACAGTGCTCAGGCCCTGAGTTCAAGCCCCAGGACTGGCAAAAAACAAACAAAAACCCTTTTCATCCTTCCATCTCCCCTTTCCTACCAGCCTGGTTCTAGGGGCTCAGGTTTGACTCTAATCCAACCTTCTCTTGTTCATCCTGTCTTCTCTGAACCTTCCTGCCTGTGACACCCCCCCCCAAAAAAAAAAACCCACAAAAAACAAAACTAATCCTGCTTGGAGCCTGCCAACACCTGGGCTCTGCAGGGTCAGGTGTGATTTTTAATTTTTATTTGTTTTTATTTTATTGTCAGTCATGGGGCTTGAACTCTGGGCTGGGCGCTGTCCCTGAGCTCTTCAGCTCAAGGCTAGTGCTCTACCCCTCGAACCCTAGCACCACTTCCAGTTTTTGACTGGTTGAGATAAGGGTCTCCTGGGGACTTTCCTGCCCAGGCTGGCTTTGAACCACGTTCCTCAGATCTCAGCCTCCTGAGTAACTAGGATTACAGGTGTGAGCCACCAGCGCCCAGCTTTAATTTTTTGTTTTAGTAGTGGGATTTGAACTCACAGCCTCAAGCTTGCTCGACTAGCAACACCACTTGAGCCACATCCCCAGTCCCCTCTTCCTTTATTCTGCTTGACACAAGGTCTCCCATAGTTTAAGTGGGAATTTCTGTAGACATTTTGAGAGACAGGAGTCTTGGGAATGGTCTTTGTTTGTAGACCTGGTTTCAGTTGGGATGTGGGCGTGGCCTGTGTTGTGGACCCCCCAGGTCTCATTAACATGTGGGTGTGGTTTCGCCTGGGAAAGGGTGTGGTCTACATTAGGGGCGTGGGCACTGTCGTGTGGGCGTGGCCATCGGAGGGTGTGGCCTCACCGTCGGCCCCTCCTTCCCCCCCCCCCCCCCCCCGGTCTGGTCCCCCGCAGCTCTGCCACCTTGCCACTGATGATGAAGTGCGTGGAGGAGAGGAATGGCGTGTCCAGGCACATCAGCCGCTTCATCCTTCCCATCGGTGCCACGGTGAACATGGACGGCGCGGCACTCTTCCAGTGCGTGGCTGCCGTGTTCATCGCGCAGCTCAACCGGCAATCCCTGGACATGGTGAAGGTCATCACCATCCTGTGAGTGCGAGGCGGCCGCGGTGGTCCTCCTGGTCCCCGTGTCCTCCCACCCCGGCGTCATCTGCCTCATGTCCCCCCCTCCAGGATCACGGCCACCGCGTCCAGCGTGGGGGCGGCCGGCATCCCCGCGGGAGGAGTCCTCACCCTCGCCATCATCCTGGAAGCCATCAACCTCCCTGTCAAGGAGATCTCCTTGATCCTGGCTGTGGACTGGCTAGTGTGAGCTGGGGGGCACAGGGGGACCCCGGGCATAGGGGACAAGCCAGAGTGGGCAGAAGAGGAAAGCCCACCCGGCCTGGATTGCTAGAGGGAGCAGGTGGGACCTTGAGCTTTCCAGGAAGAGGGAAGACTGTCATCTTTGGGGATCTAAGAGGAACTCTAGAAGGTGGTAAACGGGAGTGGTTAGTTGATATGATGCAGGCCTGGCAGCTTGGGTTCCAATCCTAGTGCCACCAACTGTGTGGCCTTGAGGAAGTAATTTCCCTACGTCTCCATTTCTCTGTCTGTAAAATACAGAGAAGAGGGTCTTAAGGACTAGATGACTGATTTAATATAATGTACACACACACACACACACACACACACACACCCTTTCAGACTGCCCCCAATAACCTGATAAATGTTACATAGTTGTTTAGGATCATAATTACACTATTAAGAGTATAAATATTTGGGCAGCATGGTAGTGTATGCCTGTTATCCCAGTACTCAGAAAGCTGACACAGGAACTAGGATGGTGCCCATGATTTATGAATGTAGTTTGAAATACTTAACAAGACTGAGATCTACAGGATCAAGGTTTGAGCCAACCTGGGCAGAAAAGTCTATGACTTCATCTCTAAAATCACCAGGAAAAAGCAGGGGCTGCCAGGTACTGGTAGCTCACACCTGTAATCCTAGCTACTCAGCAGGCTGACATCTGAAGACGGAGGTTCAGTGCTAGCCCAGGCAGGATAATTTTTGAGCCTTTTTTTTTTTCTTGTCTGGGCCTGAGCGCTGTCCCTCAGGTCTTCAGCTCAAGGTGAGCGCTCTACCACTTCAGCACAGCACCACTTCTGGTTTTCTAGTGGTTTATTGGAGATAAGAGTCTCATGGGGAGCTGGGAAGGTGGCTCAGTGGTAGAGCACTTGCCTTGCATGCTTGAGGCCCTGGGTTCGATTCCTCAGCACCACATAAGAAAAAAGCCGGTAGTGGCGCTGTGTGGCTCAAGTGGTAGAGCGCTAGCCTTGAGCTGAAGAGCTGAGGGACAGCGCCCAGGCCCAGAGTTCAGGCCCCACGACCGGACCCCACCCCCCCAAAAAAAAAAAAAAAAAGTCTCATGGACTTTCTTGCCCCGGCTGGCTTTGAAATGTGATCCTCAGATCTCAGCCTCCTGAGTCGCTAGGATTACAGGCGTGAGGCCCCTGCGCCCCGTTCTTTTTTTTTTTTTTGCCAGTCCTGGGGCTTGAACTCAGGGCCTGGGCACTATCTCTGAGCTTCTTTTGCTGAAGGCTAGCACTCTACCACTTGAGCCACAGTGCCACTTCCGGCTTTTTCTGTGTATGTGGTACTGAGGAATCAAACCCAGGGCTTCATGCATGCTAGACAAGCACTCTACCACTGAGTTCCACATTCTCAGCCCCAATTCTTGAGACTCTTATCCCCAATTAACCACCAAAAAGCCAGAAATGGAGCTATGGCTCAAGTGGTAGAGTGCCAGGTCCTGAGTTTAAGCCTCAGTACCTGCAGGGGGCAAAAAAAAAAAAAGCAAAGTCTGGATATAAGATTTAAGTGGTGGGCTGGGAAGGTGGCTCAGTGGTAGAGCGCTTGCCTTGCATGCATGAGGCCCTGGGTTCGATTCCTCAGCACCACATAAGCAAAAAAAGAAAAAAAAGCCGGTAGTGGCGCTGTGTGGCTCAAGTGGTAGAGCGCTAGCCTTGAGTTGAAGAGCTGGGGGACAGTGCCCAGGCCTAGAGTTCAGGCCCCAGGACTGGACCCCCCCAAAAAAAAGATTTAAGTGGTTGGGCTGGGAAGGTGGCTCAGTGGATGAGTGCTTGCCTTGCATGCATGATGCTCTGGGTTCAATTCCTCAGTACCACATAAGCAGAAAAAGGTGCAAGTGGCGCTGTGGTTCAAGTGGTAGAGCACTAGCCTTGAACTGAAGAGCTGAGGGACAGTGCCCAGGCCCTGAGTTCAGGCCCCATGACCAGCAAAATAAAAATTAAAAAAATAAAAATAAAAAGATTTAAGTAGTAGAGCATCAGCTAAACACAGAGAAGTACTACCAAAGAAACAAAAACCAAACAGAACAGATGAAAATACAGAAGATTAGCCAGGCACCAGTGGTTCATAGCTATTCAGGAGACTGAGATCTGAGGATCGAAGTTCAAAGTCAGCCTGGGCAGGAAAGTCCGTGAAACTCTTATCTCCAATAAACCACCAGAAAGCCAAAAGCGGTGCTGTCGCTCAAGTG